TGGATGGACATTACTGGTACGCAAGTACGCTTTCTCCGTATAAAGGTTGGAATGCTCGGTAATTTCTTGTAATAACGCAAATGCGTACTTGCTTATGTGGATTTGCGCTCACTTATGTGCATTTGCGCTCTTATAACAAGAAATGACAACATTTTACAGCGAATGCGTACTTGCCTACAAGTTGGTTTTTAAGTCATTTCATTCAATTCAAGTTGTGTACACAACAGAACTGCATGGAAACTGACTAGACCTGTAGCTGACTAGACTATAGAACTGTAGCTCAAATATAAATGGATGTCAATGTAGAAACAATTTACATACCTTACAATGAATATCTCAAAGGAGATCTGGGACAGCGGAAGATTTAACACGCCAACGACCTACCAACACCATAAAGGCACTGTAAATACCCACTAAGCACCACCGTAATTTTAATACCACGTAAACCAAATTTAGCATTAAGACTATATTTGGAAACAGAAAGAGTAGTTATCACTGCGTGAGAATCCGAGTCCATGATCGATCCAAGGTTCCTCGGGTTCTTTGGAGGCGTTCTTTCTCCCCAAGCCTTAGCTTTCAGACTCCTGACATTGTAAATATATTACTCCTTTGGTCAAAAGTTGGATTATGAAACAAATAAAATACAAAAAGATCTTAAGTTTTAAGTAATATTAAATTCCATCTCAAAATGGTATTTATTAATAAAGTTATGTATAAAAGAAAGTAGGTTTAACTTGTAGTATATCGAAACGTGTCTGGGCTGCTGTCGTAAACATTGTTTTCACTCGAATCGTCGTATATTATTTACGTTTATATGCCTATTTGCAATAATGCAAGGATATTTTCGAATACAGGAGCGTAACCACCCAGATTTTTCTTTTGGGAGAAAGAAGTGTTCCCAGGGTCGTCTCTCTCAATTGAATAACAACAAGGGAAGCCAAATCCCACCCAGAGAGAGAAGGGGGGCTGTAGACCTGTACCGTTATAAAGGGGTGCTTGTCTCAGTATTGGATTGGTGTGGAAAATAAGCGCTTTGCACTGGATAGCGATGGCGTCCATGGGATTACAGATTCTGGGCATCACGCTTGCTGCCATAGGCTGGCTCGGCGACATCACCATTTGCCTCCTTCCGATGTGGAAGGTAACGGCGTTTGTCGGCAATAACATCGTAACGGCTCAGATAATCTGGGAGGGCTTGTGGATGAGCTGCGTGGTCCAGAGCACTGGGCAGATGCAGTGCAAGGTGTACGACTCCATGCTGGCGCTACCGCAGGACCTACAGGTGGCTCGGGCCCTGGTGGTCATCTCCGTGCTGATGGCACTCTTCGGCATCTTGCTGTCGGTCCCCGGGGGAAAGTGCACCAACTGCATAGAAGACGAGTCCGCCAAGTTCAAAGTTGCGATCATCGCGGGAGCTTTCTTCATCGTCAGTGGTGCCCTGTCTCTCGTCACTGTGTGCTGGTCTGCGAACACCATCATCAGAGACTTTTACAACCCTCTGCTACCGGACGCACAGCGACGGGAACTTGGCGGAATGCTTTATATCGGCTGGGGGGCGGCGGGTCTCCTGATTCTCGGTGGAGCGCTACTTTGCTGCAGCTGCCCCCCCAAGGAAGGCCGTCCGTACACTGCGAAATACTCTCCCGCTAAATCTGCTAGTTCAGGAAAGGACTATGTATAAATTGCCGATATATATATATTTTTTCTTTTTTTTAAATAAAAATTAAAGTTCTTAAACGATGACTGATCATTATTGAAGAACTACTATGTTGTATGTGTAGTATTTTGTATGCTCCTAATTGTATTTGTTTTTACATGGAGTACCACGGCTTCAGTGGCCCGCTCCGAAATAGTTATCTTATGTAAGGAGCACATGTAGGGACGGGAAGATTCACCGATATGCATTGGTGTACTAGCATAAAAGTTTACTATGCGATTGTCTCGATTTAAAAAGTGTGCGCCGGACACAGAATTAGGATGAATTCGGGATTGCATCAGTAAAATGTGGTTTATTAATATATAATAATTAGTAGAGGCCATAAGCCTTTATTATTTAGAAATGTGACCAATAATTTTGATCAATAATATTATATTTAGATTGTTTCCCCCTCGTTAAACCTTTTCTATATTTCTATCATATTGAATGGCATAGCATCACATTGTTTTGCATCGTGCTGAATCACATTGTGTCAAATCGCACTGCAGCGCAATAGAGGTGAATCATATCGTATCGCATTAGTAGTTGCTTCATGTTTATATCTTTAATGTATCGGACAACACATCGAGATGTGTATCACATGGAGATACACATCCCTAAGCATAATACTATGTACAGTCTGGTCTAACAGCTACTAACAACCCATTTTTGTTTTTGGAGCTAAATTCTAACACCATTCAATTAAAAATTCNCTCAGGGACAGATTAGTGGTGGGTCTTAGGGATTCATCATTGTCGGAGCGGATGCAACTGGATAGAGACCTTACCCTGACGAAAGCCATTACAATGGCAAGACAGTCAGAGGAGATAAAAAGGCAACAGACTGACCTGAGAGGGGAGATGGGTGCAACTAAAGTAGCCATCGACACAGTTCGGGTTAAGAGAGCACAGCAGCACAAGGATAAATTCAAAAAACAGACACTAGGACAATTAAAAGGCACGAGAACTGCGCAGAGCGTGATGGGACATAAAACATGTAGTAAATGTGGTAAATCACCATTTCACCCAGCATATGAGTGTCCTGCTAAGAGCATAGAATGCCACAAATGCGGTAAAAGGGGACATTATGCTAAGGTCTGCAGGTCAAACTGCACCGTGAACGAGGTTGCAGAGGACATGGATGAGCTGTTTCTCGGAGAGGTGATTTCCGGAGATGATCCATGGATGGCTGACATCAACATAAGAGACCGTGAGGTAACATTTAAAATCGATACTGGAGCCGATGTTACAGCTGTCCCTGAACATGTTTATCAACTAATTACACAAGGTGATAAACAGCTACAAAAGCCACAGAAACCACTTTACGGGCCGGGCGGTATGGAACTAAACGTTGTGGGGTCAGCTATCGAAACGCTGTCATAGAAGGAGAGGAGCACCGCAGAGACAATCTTTATAGTCAGAAATCTGCAGGTGGCGCTGTTAAGCAGACCAGCTTCAGTGAACCTTCGGCTTGTAGCCAGACTTGACACTATAGACCAAGATGGTGTTAAAAAGGCCTACCCCAAGCTCTGCGAAGGACTTGGGCGCGTTCAAAAGCCCTACACCATTGTCCTTAAGCCTAACGCCAAGCCCTTTTCCCTTAAAGTGCCAAGGAGGGTCCCATTGCCACTCATGGGCAAGGTAAAAAACGAATTGGAGAGGATGGAGAGACTAGGGGTCATAAGTTGTGTAGAGGCACCAACAGCCTGGTGTTGCGGCATGGTGGTGGCTCCGAAAAAGGACAAAGCAGAAGTCCGTATCTGCGTTGATTTGACTCCTTTAAATGAGTCTGTGTGTCGCGAAAAGTTCATCCTCCCGTCTGTCGATCAAACCCTTGGCATGCTCGCAGGAGCGCGGCACTTCACCAAACTGGATGCAAATATGGGCTTCTGGCAGATA